TATTACACCTCACTGATATTATATCTCACTGATATACCTCACTGTTTTTTATATACTCTGTTATTATACCTCACTAATATTATACCTCTCTGTTATTATATACTCCATTATTATACCTCACTGATATTATACCTCACTGTTATTATACACTCTGTTATTATACCTCACTGATATTATACCTCACTGTTATTATAGACTCTGTTATTTTACCTCACTGATATTATACCTCACTGTTATTATACCTCACTGCTATTATACACTCTGTTATTATACCTCCCTGATATTAGACCTCACTGTTATTATACCTCACTGCTATTAGACACTCTGTTATTATACCTCACTGTTATTATACCTCACTGATATTATACCTCACTGTTATTATACACACTGTTATTATACCTCATTGATATTATACCTCTGTTATTATACACTCTGTTATTATACCTCACTGATATTTTACCTCACTGTTATTATACATACTGTTATTATAACTCACTGTTATTATACACTCTATTATACCTCACTGATATTATACCTCACTGATATTATACCTCACTGTTATTATACACACTGTTATTATACCTCATTGATATTATACCTCTCTGTTAGTATACACTCTGTTATTATACCTCACCGATATTATACCTCACTGTTATTATACACACTGTTATTTTAACTCACTGGTATTATACCTCACTGTTATTATACACTCTGTTATTATACCTTACTATTATTATACCTCACCATTATTATACCTCACTATTATTATCGAATCTGTTATTATACACTCTGTTATTATATCTCTCTGTTATTATATCTCACTGATATTATAGCTCACTGTTATTATACCTCACTGTTATTATACACTCTGTTATTATACACTCTGTTATTACACACTATGCTATTATATCTCTTTTGTTATACACTCTGTTATTATATCTCTTTTATTATACACTCTGTTATTATATATCTTTGTTATTATGCCTCACTGATATTATACCTCTCTATTATTATACCTCTCTGTTATTATACACTTTGTTATTATACCTCTCTGTTATTATCTACGCTGTTATTATTCCTCTTTGTTATTATACACTCTGTTATTATACCTCTGTTATCATACCTCTCTGTTATGAAGTGTTCTTGCATAGCAAGACCACTTATTGTTATCTCACATATATATTATTATTCTTATTATAGCCAAATTTGCCACCCTAACTCCTCCCACAGTTTTTACACTACATAGACAAAAATTTACCAAAACGTGCAGATTGTTTCCGATCGGATTGCTATTACTTTGTGGAACGTTTCGCCGAATGGTTCACGGAATATCGTCGTTCTTGTGGCGAAATATGTCCCATAGGAATGAATGGCAAAGCTAGAGTGGGAGCTGGCAAAAGCTGAAAAATCAGGACATGATTTCTAAACTGCCACCACTCCCTTATTTTCAGGCCCACCTACACAAATCTTATATCAAAACGTTCAGCTACCCCTGCTGCCACTAAACATGTCAACGGCTAAGCCGTAGTCCAGATAGTTTTCACAATATAATCATTTGTTTGCAACTAACGCCATCCATTGACATTCATTGAAACTTCACTCTACAAAGCTCAAATTTGAAGTGCAATTTCTAAACTGCGACTGTGCCTTCATTTTTAATACTTCAGAGACATACTATGCATCAAAATGTAGGTCTATGCTGTTATTATACCTCTTTGTTATTATACCGCTCTGTTATTATTCCTCTCTGTTATTATACACTCTGGTATTACACACTCTGTTAGTATACCTATATTATTATACCTTTCTGTTATTATACACTCTGTGAGGGAGGGTCAGCCTGTCATACCCCTACTCTTTGCTCCCCCTAATACTCATAGCTGTGTACTATTTTTTATGGTAAGAAATAATGATATTGACATTATTTCCATTTCGTCATGATGGATTTCATTTTATTGACATGTTGGGGAGCTATGTATTCCTTACAAACACCCAATGTTTTAGAAATTAATGAACTTTAGATTGCTAGGCGACTGGGTCAAAGACTTTCTAAAACAGGAAATATTGTGGGCTGTTCCCAGTATGCAATTGTTAGTACCTACCAAAAGTGGTGCAAGGAAGAAGAACCGGTGTACTGGCGTCAGATTCATGCCAGGGCTCATTGATGTATGTGGGAGCGAAGACTTGCCCGTCTGGTCAGATCACACGGAAGCTCTACTGAAGCTCAAATTGCTGAAAATAATGCTTGCCATGATAGAAAGGTGTCAGAACACACAGTGCATCTTAGTTTGCTGGGTATGGGGCTGCGTAGCCGCAGGCTGAGCAGTGGAGCCCATGATATGGAAAAACTGGTGAGTATAAGTGCTCAATATCTATAATTAGCAGGAAATCCCCAACACCGGGTTCTCTCCACCCTTGTGAAGTGGATAGTAAAGATAACAGACAGGAGGTAATCAGCGCTTAATATTATATATACATACGATGCAGATGATGTCCTTACTATATGACTCTATAAGTACAAAGCAAGAAACAGATTATGGTGCAGTATAGTAGATGTTTGTGAAGGGAGTACAAATGGGCAAAAGTGCACACTCACACGTTTTAGAGCTGTCTCAGCTCTATTATGAAAGCCTGGACGGAATAATCCCCGTCTATGGATGTAAATGGAGAGTCTTTGGAGTTTAGTTTCAGGATGGAGTAGGTATATGTGAAAAAAAGACAAAATAGGAAATCCAGTGGTATAGTATATAAAAACAATTGGTATTGATGGAGTAAATTATCCTACTTACGTCACCCATAGCAATGTCCTGCTCTGGTTTGAAGAACTTGAGGTGGAACAATCTCCACCTAGGGATATATGCTGGAACCAGAAGGATGATGAGGGCTGTATGAAGGATGTATTCCACAGGTAATGATGTATAGCATAGTAGGTTTATTAAATAAAAAGCTGGAAACAACAGCTATATAAGTAAAAACAAATAAACAAACTGTGGATAAAATTAGTCTTCACTTAACGCCTTTCGCCAAATGCTTTCTCAGTGGAGCCCATGATGACCTCTGTCCACCACTGAAAGTTCCTTCAATGGGCACTCGAGAGTCAGAACTGGACCATGAAGCAATGGAATAAGGTTGCCTGGTCTGATGAATCACATTTTCTTTTAGATAAGGTGGATGACCAGATGTGTGTGCATCCTTTACCCGGGGAAGAGATAGCAGCAGGATGCACTATGGAAGGAAGTCAGGCCGGTGGAAGCAGTGTTATGCTCTGGGCAATGTTCTGCTGGGAAGCCTTGGGTCCTGGCATTCATGTGGATGTTACTTTGACACCACCTACCTAGAGATTGTTGGAGGCCACAAACATGGCAATGGTGTGCCCTGATGGCCTCTTTTAGCAGTATAATGAACACGCCACACTGCAAAAATTGTTCAGGAATGGTTTGAGTAACTTGACAAAGAGTTCAAAGTGTTTCCGTGGCCTCCAAACTCCCTAGATCTCAATACGATTGAGCGTCTGTGGGATGTGTTGGAACAACAAATCCGATCCATGTAGGCCCCAACTTGCAACATGCAATACTGAAAAGATCTGCTGCTAATGTCGTGGTGCCAGTTACCACATAACTTATTCAAAGATCTTGGGGAGTCCATGGCGCGATGCTTCAGAGGGGGACCTACACAATATCAAGCAAGTGGTTTTAATGTTGTGGCTTGACAGTGTAAGTGAGGCTTGCATAATACAGATTAAGTTACAGCACACACATAAAAATACATTTTTAAATCTTATAAAGCTACTTATATCACCTATCTCAGCAAACAATATATGGGGATTCAGATCCACCATATGGCCATATTGTATTAAGCCCACCACTACTTCCCAGTACCCCAAGATCGGTGGGTCCTACAATAATTCCAAACATGGGAGGCAAATTAAATAGTGCTAGTGTTAAATAAGCTAAATAGTATTTAATAATTCTATTGTAAGAGCATTGTGAGTACATAATGCAAAATTAAAGTGATAAAAGCAATATAAAACAGTGTCAAAATTAAACAATTAAAGTAATAGTGCTTGGATTAATTATACTCACAATGCAAATGATACATCTGCTCATTGAAAATGATAGTTAAAGTGACCTTAGTATCCAAAAACGTTTTACATTTTTTATAGGCTACATAAAATCACCTTTCTCAGCAAACAAACATAGCAGAAATATATAATATATATAATTATAAGATTTAAAAATGTATTCTTAAGTGGGCACTGTTATGTAATCTGTATTATGTATGAATTTTGGTAATTATGGCTGCACCATTCCTGTAATGTAGGGCATGGAGACCAATTCCTTTTTGTCTTTAATATGTAAGTGAGACTTGCTGACAGAGTGCTCTTACTGAAATTTTATAGCCCAGGATAGCCCTTATAAAAACTCTTGCTGCTATGCTAGGTCCATCTGCTCAGAACCCTTGTCCACCTGATGTCCACAGGTGGTGGCACAGAGGGGCATGTGCCAGGTTTTCTCTGTATGTGATTGAACAGCAATCACCACCTTACTCATGGCATGGTGAGTCAGGGCATGGGGTAGATGTAAAACCTCCTTCCCTTGTACTAATGTGGAGTTCAGATTGACACCCACAAGCTTTAATTTCATATACTTTTTAAGTGGCTAACTGGGTTACCCCTAAAAAAGGATGACACATGCTTCTAAAGCACTTTTATTGGACGACTTCTCTCAAGCAGCCAACCCGTTTATCAGGTTCGGCTCCTAGAATTTTGTCTGGCATTAAATCCAGTTGAAATTTTATTAAAAAATATTGGCCAAAACAAGTCAGTAATATTTGCCTGGGTTTTGCTGATAGAATGTAATTGAGACCAATATGGGAGGCTGTGGCAATTATATACAGTCGATTAGAATGTACAGTTTAAAACAGTTCTGAAGGAATCTACGCCCAGTATTTCATGGCCACCACGATACATTTTTGTAAGGGTGGTCAGAACTGGGATAATTCTAGAACTATTTTAGATGACTCTTTGTACTACTGTTAGCCATTGATATAATCGGATGGGTCATTTAATACAAGGCAAAAGAAATTGAGAGGGACACTATAGTCACCTGAACAACTTTAGCTTAATGAAGCCGTTTTGGTGTATAGAACATGCCCCTGCAGCCTCACTGCTCAATCCCCTGCCATTTAGGAGTTAAATCCCTTTGTTTATGAACCCTAGTCACACCTCCCTGCATGTGACTTGCACAGCCTTCCATAAACACTTCCTGTAAAGAGAGCCCTATTTAGGCTTTCTTTATTGCAAGTTCTGTTTAATTAAGATTTTCTTATCCCCTGCTATGTTAATAGCTTGCTAGACCCTGCAAGAGCCTCCTGTATGTGGATTAAAGTTCAATTTAGAGATTGAGATACAATTATTTAAGGTAAATTACATCTGTTTGAAAGTGAAACCAGTTTTTTTTTTTCATGCAGGCTGTGTCAATCATAGCCAGGGGAGGTGTGGCTAGGTCTGCATAAACAGAAACAAAGTGATTTAACTCCTAAATGACAGTGAATTGAGCAGTGAAATTGCAGGGGAATGATCAATACACTAAAACTGCTTTATTTAGCTAAAATTATTTAGGTGACTAGGGTTCCTTTAACTTACACAACATTGTTTTGCATTTAAACCCATGTTAGTGAGATTATTTTAGCGGAGCTCGATGATACTCTTATTCAGACTAAACATACTAAGTTTTTGTTGCAAAAAAATAAATAAATCTAATTTCTTGGCATTGTAAGGAAAACTGATAATTTTGTGTTTGTCATGATCATATCTGCAATCTCCTTTCTCCTCCTTATTGATGACAGGAGATGCAGCTTTGTGTGCCAGGAACTGTGTCGCTGTTGTTGTCTCACTCATGCACAGGAGAACAAATCAGGGGTGTGCGGAGGATCATGCAAGACATCAGGATCTTACACAGATATCTCACAATTGTGCAATGAGATCAGTGGAGTAGGGAGTTCATGAGGCATCCAGAGGCAAGTCCATTTTGTGTCTTTTAGGGCATTGGTGGTCATATTTTGGGGTCTCTAATGTCCACAAAATATGTACAGGTAGGCTGCTTGCAGTGTTGTGTGTGGGTGTGTAGGCTGCTTGTAGTATGGCGCGTTTTAGGGACACTGCTTGTGATGTTGCCTGTCTGTGCGGACCTGTGTGGGAAGACACTGTGGCATTGCGTTTTTGTTGGGATGCTGCGTGTGGTATTGTATGCTTGTCGAGATGCTGCTAGTGATTCTGCTAGTGAGTGATGTTGCATGTCTGTGGGGATGCAGGCGTGTGAGAATATTTATAGTTTTAGGTAGCCTGCTTGTGATTTAACATGTTTGTACATTGTAGTGTTGTACATTTGAAGTGTTGTCCTTTTACTATGCACCATTTATAGGCTCGCTGTTTGTGTGGTTGTGCTTGGGGGAATGAACTGGGTGAGGATGCTTGTAAGTGTAGTGTGTGGATGGGGCTGTAGAATAGGGAGTGTAGGGGCCATAGTGTGTGTTTGTGAGGGTAGGGGCTGTAGTGTAGAGGGAGATAGGAATTGTAGTGTAGAGTGGGATAAGGGCTATAGTGTAGGGGGATATAGGCTGTAGTGTAGGAGGGATAGAGGCTGTATTGTAGGGGAAGTAGGAGCTATAGTGTAGGAGTGATAGTGGATGTAGTTTAGAGGGAGTTGTGGACTGTACTGTAGGTGGTATAGACAGCGCTGTATTTAGCGCAAGGCAAACAAGGCACTTGCCTTGGGTGGTACTTTCCAGGGGGCGGCAAAAAATGCCACCTCCCAAGTGCCCTGGCAAATACCTTGTTAGCCTTGACTTATAGGGGGCCCAAAAGTTGGGCAGCTGGCCACCCTTAAGCCCCCCAGGGAGCCCGGACAGTTTCTTTTACAGGCGGGTGGCGAGGGAGCGCTGATCTGAGCTCTTCCTGCTCAGCTCCCTCGAACGACCCGCAGTGATGCCGGGAGCTGGAATGTGACGTCACTGAGCAGGAAGATCACAGCTCCCTCGCTGCCTATTTTGCGCACCCACTCCCCCCCTTGACTGCCTGACCTCCATCTTGTACGCCTGCCCACCCAGCAGCCAGCCCAGCAGCCCCACTGGACCCCAGGTAAAAATCTGTGCATAGGGGCTTGGCAGGAACAATAACCGGGTACATAGAAACAGACAAGGGCAAATCCAGGAGAGTAGTCAGACACGGTTCCATAGGTCAGGGCAGGCAGCGAACAGACAATAACGAATAATCCAAAAGCAGAGGTAACAAGCCAGGTTAGTCTGAAAATTAAGGAAAATTAGGCAACAGGAAACAATGAACTGACCCTGCTCTCAGGGAAAGGCAGTGTTAAGTGCACCCGCACTAGAACATATTTTCATGGGATGTTTAATTTCGGGGCATGAAAGCAGGTCTGTGTTCGGGGGAATTTCCCGGAAATAGATTCCCAAACATAGACCAGTTCACTAGTGCATGGAATCCCAAGAATCTATGTTCGGGGAAAATGCCCGAACATAGATTAGCAAACTAGCGACTAGGGATTATTTTTGAGGTAGGGCTTATATTGCGAGCATGTCTTATTTTCTGGGAAAACGGT